ATACTTTGTGGTTGTAAAACATAATGAAATATTGATCAATACAAACAAATCTAACTACAATTGATAATTATTTATTTATTATTAGTGGACACAATTTTAGGTCCAAGTCTTAGTTTTAATCCTGAGCCAGATTAACTTTAACATCGTAAGATTACGTTTCTGAAAGCAGTTTGAGAAAACTCGTTTTCTGCAGAATTACAGCGCTGAGCGCTAAAAGACGGCGCCGACGTCAGCTGAAAAAGCCCGAATTGAGACGTTTAAGAAAGCACAAGCTGAACAGAAACTAAAGGCAACAAATAAAGATGCTAAAGTAAAACACTAATATGGTAAAATGCTTTCTAAAAATTTAAAGTAGTGAAGTTGCAGCTAAAGAAGATGAGCTAAAAGTAGTAGAGTGATGATGAATATAAGTAAAGCGCTCAATAAAACAGCAAAATACTAGCTGGAAGCTCAAAGTAGCTAAATGTTAGCTAAACATAGCTTAATACTAGCTCACAAATAAAATAAAATCTAGCAAAAAGGTACAATGACAAAGTAGACAGCTAAAAGCTAAAAGGAAAGAAAGAAAACTATAACACCAAATGGAATGGCAACATTTTAGCAGAAGAATCAGCACCTCCAAATCTGAGGCCGTGGTCCTCAGTTGGAAAAAGGTGGATTGCTTTCTTCAGGTTGAGGGTGAGGTTCTGCGTCAAGTGGAGGAGTTCGAGTATCTCAGAGTTTTGTTGATGAGTCAAGGAAGAATGAAGCGTGACATTGACAGATGGATTGGTGCAGCTTCTGCAGTATTGTGGACTCTGTGCCAGTTTATTGTGGTGAAGAGGGAGCTGAACTGTAAGGCAAAGCTCTCTGTTTACAGATCGGTCTATGTTCTCACCCTCACCTATGGTCAGGAACTCTGAGTAGTGACCGAGAGAATAAGATCACGGATACAGGCAGTTGAAATGAGTTTCCTCTGCTGGGCAGCTGGACTCTCCCTTAGAGATAGGGTGAGAAGTTCAGTTATCCGCGGGAGACTTGGAGTAGAACCGCTGCTCCTCCACATCAAAAGGAACCAGTTGAGGTGGTTCAGACATCTGTTAAGGATGCCCCCGGGCAGCTCGGTGCTTCGGACATGTTAGACTGGGAGGAGACCCCAGGGAAGACCCAGGACACGCTGGAGAGACTATGTCTCTCAGTTGGCCTGGGAACACCTTGGAGTTTTCCCAGAAGTGCTGGAAGAGATGGCTGTGGAAAGAGATGTCTGGGCCTCCCTTCTGAATCTGCTGCCCCAAGACCTGACTTCAGAATGAGCAGAAGATAATGGATGGATGAATAAAGACCAAAAGTCACTGTATCTTTCTAAAGGATGAGCTGAATGTTTTAATATAGGGACAGGTAAAACGGCATAAAGTACACAAAACAATTAGAATGCATAAAAAAATGCTTGAACGTTGCAGCTCAGTGGCTCAACAGGTAGAGCAGCTGCCTCTCAGTGAGCAGGTTACCCTGTTTCAAATCCCGGTCCGGTGGCCTTTCTGGGTGGAGTCTGCATGGGTGGGTTTTCTCCGGGTACTCCGGTTTCCTCCCACTGACCAAAAACATGCATGTTAGGCTGATTGGTAACTAAATGGTCCCTAGGTGTGAATGAGCGAGTGAATGGTTGTTTGTCTCTGTGTGTCCTTGTGATGGACTGAGACCTGTCCAGGGTGTCCCACTCCTCTCGCACAGTGATAGCTGGACATGGGCACCAGTGACCTTCATGATCCAAAAAAGGAAGAAGCGGGTAAAGATAATGGATGGATGGATGGAAATAAAGATAAACAGGATCTCTATGATGTGAACACAGAGTCAACATTCAAACTATTAATAATCAGAACACACAGTTTGTGTTCTGAATCAAGCAGGTAAATTGGATAAACTGGCCTTTTGTTCCGACCCATGTCACATATAATCAGAACCAGACGTAAAAACTGCTCGATCCAGACATCACTTTGGTCTTTGCTCCTCAGAGATGGAGGTTCCTCTCACTCTTCTGCATCTGATTTTCTTCACTGGATGCATTCCAGAAGCCATCGCAGTGATATGTCTCCGTTTCATTTATCCATCTGTCGGCTATAATCACAACAATAAAAGCTGGTGCTGGCATTGAGGCTGCCGTTACCAAAATCATTCCTGAAACATGAATAAATGACACAATCAGTGAAATGAAAGATTCTGCCTCTTTTATAATTAGCTGTCAACACTTCTGTTATAATCTGAATAATGTGAATTGAAAAGAAATCATCTGTCCAATCCAACGTCTTCGATTTCAGTTCTTTTTCTTTTTATGAGGCATTTTTCTTTCATTCTTGTTTCATTATTTTTAAATTCACGTGAAAACAATAGTCTATTTGTCTTTTCTCGTCAGATGTTGAAGCAGTTTCTGGTTAAATATTCTCACCTGATTTGCATGATGATGCCTCAGCTTTGTCAAGGTTTGAAAAATCAACCATGACCTTCCTGTGTCCTTTCATTTGCATTTTTGTTTCATTATAACGGATAATTTATTAAACTAAATCCATAATAGATCGAAGTTTGACCTCCCTGAAAAGAAATGGAGGAACTCCATAGTATTCATTTTATTAAAAAAACATCATGAAAAGTCAGAACGTGTGATATTAATTATTGGATGATTTGTGCCGGTGTCTTATTACAGTATTAATGTAAATTTTATTTACTTCCACTTGTCTGCAGTTTGTGATAATTTGAGTTGTACAAAATTTGTGTCACAAAAGGCTGGTGCTGGTGAACCCATTGGTGCAGGCAGGCAGGCAGGCAAGGACTCAGGATGAATATATAAAATAAATAATTTATTAACAAAACAAAAGAGCTGACAGGGATGCCAAACGACCAGTGAATGATCAGGAGGGACTCACAAAACAGACAGGTCATCACCAGTGGCTAGAAGACAATGCCAGGACAAGGAGTGAGACACACACACAGGCTTAAATACAGTAAACACTAGGGGTTAAACGACTACATAATTTTTAAACTCGACATTAACATAATAAAACTCAAGTAGAACTCGAGTACGTGATGAGATCATAGGATCTAAAGATGCAAAAATAAATAATTAAATAAAACCACAAAAAAGGTCATTATTTACAAAAAAAGACCAACAAATCATTGGGAGCGTATATTATGCTCCTACCATTTATCATACAGCAAATAAGTCACAGGAAAAACTAAACTATTAGTTATTATTATTAAGCTGCAAAATTGAAGAAACGTGTAGAACATCAAAAACTAAACTAAAAACAGTGTGTGTGTGTGTGTGTGTGTGGGGGGGGGGGGGGTGTCAACCACCCCGCACCACCGCCCGCAATGGTGCACATTAGGTTTAGTTTTAGAGATTAATATGTTTATAGATTTTTTTAATAGGTTTAGAGATGAATATTTTTTGCTTTTTGTTTGTGAAACAAGGTCAGAGGAAGCTGGTTCTGGTTCGGTCGATTGGACCCGGTGTTGCACCATATTCTGTGACCTGCAACAGTGCATGCAACACCGCCCCCTACGATCACAATATACGGTGGTCACAAAATATGGTGTAACACCGGTTCGCAACACGCTCCAAACAGTCAGGAAGTTGATTCATTTTCTGTTTCTTACGGTAGTTGAACAAGAAGATTCATCTTTAGTGAAATATTTCCATACTATTGATGCATTTTTACCTGTTTGCCAAGACTGGGCCTGCTCTGCTCCATCCGTCTGCTTGGAGAATCCATTTTGTAACCTGCGCCTGTTGCGGATCACATGACGCAATGACGTAACGGCGGCGTAATGACGTCACCACTAATACTTGACGTGAAATTAAAAACCTCCATAGGTGTCCTAGGAATCGATGTGTAGATTACTCGAGTAGTCTGTTAAAGCCCTAGTAAACACCAATTAGACAAAGTGAAGACACCTGTGAGTAATCACAGATGCCAAAAACAGAGACTGAGAATGCAAGACATAAACACAACACAAGATGGGGCCAGATACTAAAGAAACACAAAGCCTATAAAGATAGAAACAGAGGAGAAGGGTGACACAGACATAACCACAACACCAGATGGGGCTAGACACCAGGGACAAAAACCACAACTCCTACAATTTGCAAAGGAGTTTATGACTTTTGACAAAGGAGTGCAGGTTTTTAATGATTTTCTGTATTTTTTTAATTTTACTTGTTTTGTTGAAGTTAGGACAATGCACGTCATTGTGAGGCATTGATATATTTTACTGATTTAGTGATTTGATTACTTCCTCATGTTCTTCAGAAGCCTGCTAATCACCCATTTATTCAAATCAGGTAGGTCAAAGCAAGGAAACAACTAAAACATGAAGGATCGTGTTCCTCAAGGACCAGAGTTGAGAACCACTGGATTTTAGGATGCCTGGGAGAGCAGATGGAGGGGGTTAAGGACCTTGCTCAAAAGCACAGAGTGGGGCAAATGAGGGTGGAGGAAGGTGTGGGTGCTTCACCTTTACCACCCACATTTTGATGTTGTCAATCCGGGGGAGTCGAACCAGCGACCATCATATCTCATCGCCTTTTCTAACCTCTGTGCCACCATTCCCCCAATCTTTTATTTGATTTATGTGTTTATTTTTTTTGGTCTTGTGCCTTGCCTTATAGCTCTAAATGTCAAGTTTGTATTTCAGTTTGTACACTTTCAAAAGATTTAAAGGTTTACAGAAAAAGTCTGACGTTCAGAATCAAATTTATTTGTCATTCATCGTGTTTGAAACATGTGAGAACATTGAGTGTTTCTCAGATCGGTCTCACTTCTTTATTACTGTACGTTACCTTTGTGACAACTAAACCCAAATCAAATTCTATGACAACAATCACAAGAAGTAAAACCAAAATACGTCCAGACTGGGTCTCTAAAACGTCCCTGCAGCGAGCAAACCTGCTGATAGACCATGCATCATATTGAAAAAAAAAAATACTACAGAATAAACAAAGCATACAAACAAGTCATAAAGGTATAAAAAAGTAAAGGAATGGTAAAGTTAAAAAAAGAACTTTAAGACAAACACAAGCTGCTTCCTCACTAAGTAGTTTATCTACCTCACACCTTTTTCACATTTCTCTTTTTCTTTCTGAGAATCAGCCGGCGGTGGATGGAAAGGTAAACACAGTCAGAGGGTCGTGCATTAAACCAAGCTGTGTGTGTGTGTGTGTGTGTGTGTGTGTGTGTGTGAACAGGTCAGTGTTTAAATGTTCCTGATATGGATGCTGGTACTGTTTGTGAAGGGTAGTGGATGGGGGGTTCAGGGTTAAAAGTCCAAACAACCTGAACCCGAGTAACATCAGATGTTACGGCTTCTATAAAATCTGTATTCATTTGTGTTTAGAAAGTAGCTTGAAGACTATAAATAAACGTAAAACAACACTTTCTGGTTCTAAATAGACTACGCAAATAAAACGTGAATCTAGATGATGAATGAAAATGTCACACTCCTATTGGTTGGATTGGTCTCCATGACAACGGTCAACAACAGATGGTTCAGGTGCTCTGTGAGTTTTCTCTCTTCAACGTTTGTGACAGTTTTTATGAAAAGCAGAAGTTGGTGGAAGTTATTCTCCATCTATCTACTTGTGTGTGTGTTCTGCTCCTCAGTGATCGGTCTCCTCCATCACTTCCATCACAACAGTTTTGGGTCCAGTTAGGATCAGGTGGCTCACAGTCCGGTAGTCCAGGTCCAGAACATTGAGACCATTAACGGAAACCACAAACTGGCGAACCTTTAGATAACAAAAATATATTTAAAATATATATATATATGAAAGAACACAAATCATGTGACTGGCATGAATAACCTCCCTGTTTTAAACTAATTTGTTTGTGGTAGTTTTAGTCTTCCTACCTTCATCCCTGCAGCAGCAGCTGGACCACAAGGCTCCACAGCCTGAACGTGACAAGGTTGGTTTCCTCGGACCACAAACCCCCATCCCACTGCATCACCGACGATCTGTACACACAAACATTGTCCCTGCATGATCATTTTATAATTTAATTCAGTTTATTTATATCACGCCAAGTCACAACAGAAGTCTGAACAGAAACATTGGCATATTTAAACGTTAATAACATTATTTATCTGAGGAGCAGACTGCTTTGAGTTTAACTCCATCACAGAACTCTCATCTTGAGCAAGCATGAAGGAGACAGTGGAAAGGAAAAACTCCTTCATGAGGAAGAAACTTTTAGCAGAACCAGACTCAGGACAAGTGGCCATCTGCTTCGAGCGGCTGGGTTTGGTAGGAACAGATACACAATGGCAGGTCAAGAATCACATGTTAAGATAGAAATAGCATCAAATGAAAACTATTCATATGTATGCATTTGAAACTACTCATTTTAAGAAATGAGGTCAATTTGCCCTCCAGTAGTCTAAGCCTATGGCAGCATAACAAGCCAACCCTAACTATAGGATTTATCAAAAAGGAAAGTCTTAAAACTGGACAATGTGTCAGCCTCACGGGAAGAAACTGGAAGTTGGTTCCACAAGAGAGGAGCCTGGTAACTGAAAGATCTTCCTCCCATTCTGCTTTTGGAAACTCTAGAAACCACAAGTAAGCCTGCAGTTTGAGAGCGAAGTCCTCTGTTAGGAAAATATGGAACCATAAGATCTGTAATATAAGATGGAGCTAGGTTGTTGAGGGCTTTGTAGGTTAGAAGTAAGATTTCAAATTCTATTCTGAATTTGACAAGGAGCCAATGGAGAGAAGCCAAGACTGGAGAGATATGATCTCTCCCACTAACTCCAGTTAAGACTCTGGCAGCAGCATTTTGGATCAACTGAAGACTTTTTAAAGAAGTATTTGGACATCCGGATACAAAAAAAACAAACATTGCAATAGTCCAGTCTAGACATGACAAATGCATGAACCAGTTTTTCCTACATCATTTTTAGACAAGATGTTTCTAATTTTATCAATATTACGCAGGTGGAAGAAGGCAGTTCTGGTAATGTTTTTAATGTGGGGGATAAAAGAAAAGTCCTGATCAAAAATAACAACAAGTTTTTTAACTTTAGAACTGGAGGCAAATTAATGCCATCTAGAATTGGAGAAAGACCGAAAAATGTATTCCTAAGACGCTCAGGTCCAAAAACCACAACCTCTTTCTTGTCTGAGTTTAAAAGCAGAAAATTAAGTTTTTATGTCTTTAAGACATGCTTGTAGTCTAAGTAGCTGACTGGATTCATTGGGTTTCATGGACAAATATAATTGTGTATCATCAGCATAACAATGAAAATGTATCTCATGCTGTTTAATAATTTTACCTAATGGAAGCATATATAAAGTAAAGAGTATTGGTCCAAGCACTGGATCCTGAGGAACTCCATGACTAACTTTGGTGTAAGAAGAAGATTAATTATTTGCATTTACAGACTGGAATATATCAGATAAATACAAAATTATATTACAATAAAAATGTTTTCATAATGTAAAAGTTTAAAAAATGTGAAGTTGAAAATGTAAAAATCTGTTTAAAGGTATGTCCAGGTATGTTAAAGGGCAGATTGATATATTCCTGATTGTATCAATAAAAAGCGATAGAAAAACATCTCATCTCACACAGACTGGTGGAAAATACTGTTTTTAAATTTTAAGCTCCTGACTTACTGTAAAGGTTTTCTTGATGTAGGGACCTCCTGGTGTTTGCAACTCCTCTGTGCTCACGGGTCTCTTCAAGACTGAAAATAATACAGAAGTATAAAAGTTGTGACAAAAAGTACTTTTTGAGTATGTTTTTATGTGCTTCATTTGAATACCATTTTAGTTGAAAAATAAGCGGCAACACATAAAAAAGCCTGATCAGAAACTCATGTATTGGCTATGTATCACCTATAGTTAACCGATACTTACTGGTTATTTACACATTGTGTACCATGTACCTACCTGGTATCTACCTAGTGCATACTCAGTAAATGTCTGGCACTTATCCATTACAGTTACAGTACATTTCGACCTTGACCTCTCTAAGTGACTTCAAACATCTGCTAAGTTCATGGCAAAAACCAGTGCAGACATGTTCCTGTTTTGGGTATTCTACATCGATTTACTCTCTAGCTGTTACTGTTTCGTTTTTTTTAAATACCATCTTATTTCATATGTTCTTCTCAATTTGTTTGCTTTTTATGACTGTCTACTGTCTTTGTTGTCTACTGTTGTCATCACTCTTTGTTAAAATCTGGTCTCACTTGTTAATGAGTCCCCGAGGCTCAATGGGATTAACCTGCAAAAATAAAAGTTGAATGAACAGTACGTACCAGGTATTTACCAATATTTTTGATTACTTAACAGGTATATTTCTGGTATTTACTCAGTATACTTATGAGGGATGTGCCTGGTAGTTACTGGATTTGTACCTGGTAAGTAACAACTATTTTCTGGGTGTAGGCCTAGTACCTACCCAGAAGTATTATGTATTGCTACAGGAATGTACATTATTTTACACTAATTTTTTAAACGCTTCCTTTGCACTAAGACTGGCTACAAAAGTCATTTGATATTTTATTTACATGTGCGTGCACACATACGCATATATATATATTTTTTATTAAATTATGTCACATTACGTTTACATCCAATATCACTTTGCTGTTAATTGTATATTTTTGTTTTATCTTATACGTCACATGTATTTAAACTAATTTAATGTGGCTACTGCATTAAAAATAGCTTCCAAACATTTCCTGAACCATCACCCCCATTTATTAAAGCCTCTTTTAATGCACCTGATTTGGGGTTGAGGAGCACATGGGAGGAAGTGTTGCCGTGGACACCAACCACCCTCCTGGTATAAATACTTCCATCGCTGCTGCTTCTCAGACGCGGTTTTGCCGGACCTCTGCAGCTTCCACTCGTGATCGCTTTCTCGTTTTTAGAAGCACTGTCTGATGAAGACAAAGAGAATGACCAGTCAAACATCTGTTGAAGGGACGACGCTCTTCAGCGTCTGAGTCTCTTTTGCTGAACAAGCATGATTATGATAACCGAAGCACCGATTATAATCTCGATGCATTGTTGACCACAGCCACATGGGTTGAAAATAAAACAAGGAAGTGGGAAAAGTGTCATTACGTCACATGCAAAGGTTTTATTGTTCATATGTTACCACGGCGACCAATAAAACAGCATCCATTGATGGTCATGTTGCTTTAGCTCACATCATAATTCTAACCAGACAACTTTCTACTAATAAAGTAATAAATATGCTTTGATAACATGATGGGCTAGTGTTGTAAAAAAAAAAAAAAGGGGGCAGACAATACAGAGTAACTAAATTATTGATACTGATAGATGTCCCTATGGGCTGCACTTCATAAAAGGTACATGGACTTTTTGGCTTGTTTTTGTGTTTTAGATAGTTTTGTTCCAACCATCATTGCTGCTCATCGAAAGAAACTGGGGCTCAACCTAACTGCTTAGTTTGAAGTATTTAGGTGCTTATCAGTACAGTTTTATTAATGCGTCATTAGACTGACCCAGTTCTGTGTTCAACTTCCTCCGTTTATGATCTGGAGACTGTTTTTGTTCATCTTGACCAACGATTGCTGCTGTTTATAATTTAAATAATAAGGACAAATACTAATAGGTTGATGAAGATGTTGTGGTCAGGGGATGTTGCTGCTTCAGAAGTGACAGAATCATACTATTCCAGTTCATCTACTGTATCAAGTATTCTTCATTAAGCAGATCCAAACACGAAACCATCAACAGAAGTCCCCATCTTCATGGTGTCTGATAAAACCAGTGCTCTTAGTCATTTTACAGCATGTGCTGTGTGATTTTTGTCCCAGAACATAAAAAAAAGCCCTTCTGTACTTGGAAGATCTTGTTCAGACTGCTGACTGTCCAAGATTCGCAGGAAATCTGCTGTGCTCAGTGCCTGCAAGTGGTTTGCTATTAACCTTTAGTTTCGGCTGGTCAGATCTCTCCTCTCTTCCAGTCGTGTCTGATTCTATCCACAGTTTTTGTCAAGTCCTGGTGTGTAACGACTTTAAACGCTTGCTAGAAATATTGAAAAGTTGACTTTGATTCCCCTCAGCGGTGCATTGTAACCCTATCGATGCGCCATGTTTTGACTCGGCAAAGAAAAACAGAGGATTAAATGCTAAACTGAGTCATGCGGATCACCTTTCCCCCCCTTTGTCCCACTGACGGAGGAAAACGTGATCTACACAGAAAATATGATAATAATAATACAAAAGTTTGTTTGTTCAGTGTTTAGCAAAACCTGCTGTTTGATTATGGAAGGAACGCTTCCTGTATGTGATAACGGGAAACTCAGCTTTATCTTCTTTAGTGAAATAAACATACACAGATTAAATCTGTTGATTATATCTATTTACTCAGTTGATTAGTTATTTTTAATTCTATTAAATATTGAAACATTGTGGTCTTTTTTTTTCTAAAACTGTTTTATCTTACAAGCTATTTCCCTTTAAGCTGCAAAAAAATATTAACTCAAATGCTCCATTTAACTTTTGGGTTTATTAAAATATTTTTGCACAGAGAGCACATAAAAAAACTATGAAAAACCAGCTTCATGTTATTGATTTTATGTTGAAATGATTTATGTAACTTATCTCACGGCTTCACATTTTACATATTGTCAATGAGCATCATAAATACACTTTATTAGAACATTTCGGGAGGAAAAACTCCTCTTACCTGCTTTGGATTTATATTAAATATAAAAATATACTTCCAAGAGCAGATCATTCTGTTCAAATATTCAAAAGTAAGAACAAAACTTGCTAAATAAGAACAATATATATATTTAAAGCTTTTTAAGTCAGTCAGGTTCTAAACTTTAATTTTCTGTCTACTAACACAAGAAATTCAATTATTTCAGCTCAGTTTGTCATTTCACATTTCCAGGATTCATCCTGCAAACTGAATAGTTCTTACCTGCGGTGCGAGGCCCCATGTTTCTTTAGTTTTTCATCCAACCGCTCCGAGAGGACCGCAGCTAAGAAGCAATGATGAAGACCTTCAGATGTGCCTTAAGACAAACACTGAGGGACACGATGGTTCAGCTCACTGCAGCTCCTTGTACAGGCTGGAGCAGCAGATAGTAAAGTTTCCCTGATGAGGTGTTCGGTTCAAATCTTTGTGTTTACAGGTCTGAAAGCGAAGGGAGCCAACTGTCTGGAAAAACTACTTGTGGCCGGGCTAAATATTAAACCCCCGAGTAAACAAAGTGGCTGTCAGCAGGAGGGAGGAGGAGACAGCTGTCATGTAGAATTTTTCTTCTCTGACATAATCACAATAATGTTCATCAGCATCTGCGTTTGACAAAATTTCATTTTTGATCGCATTAACATTTGGAAATGTGACATTTTTGTTTTTAGGCTTGAGGAAACCTCACACGGACTCGAACTGTGTAAATTCAGTAAACTATTTATGCATTTCCCCGAAAATTCACTGAAGAAAAGCCATTTTTGTGTTGGATTGAGCTCCAAAAGTTAATCAGATTTCGATCCTTCCATTTTGGTAACAGACAAACAAGATTGGCCTTATTGGTTATTTTAATGATTTCATGCACAGATCTTTCACAATATGTTGTGATCAATGTACATGTTGGAGATGGTGCTCAGCTACTACCACACTTCATTTTAGTTTAATCTTCCTTTTTCCTGTCACACGGATTGAACACAAGAGAACAGACTTACATGAGAAGCTTAAATAAAAACTCAGGTTTACCTTGAAATCACAGAACTCTGAGAACAAAAGGAAATAATAGATAATTACACCTCCAGCTTGAATCTTGTTTTAAATTTTAACAGGAATATGAAAAGTTTCATTTGAACTTCTGCTCCACAGGTTTCTGCAGATATGTTATCAATTTGGTAAACTTCTGCATTAAATAAGATGAGGTGTAAATATTGTGTGTGCAAAAAGTTTAGCATGTGCTGAAATAAAGCATGAGCTCCACTGTGGTTGCTACGCCGACAGTAGGAGGCTGCAGCTGGAGAGAAAAGTGAAACACAAGGAAATTATTGGATGGGATGGGAGACTGCGACGAAGCCAAGATTCAACTTGTCTGCTGGCCTCCTTAGATAGAGAACTTTACTAACAGGCTTTTATGTATGTGAATGTTCCTGTAAAGTGCCCTGAGACAACTTTATTGTGATTTGGCGCTATATAAATAAACTGAATTGAATTGAATTGTTCCTGAAGGATCTGAGGTTCAACCATATCTTCTTCAGTATCATAATTCCATCAGTAAATTGCAAATCACGAACCAAAAACCTCACTATAGCCTGATTTTACTTTATTTTTCATAAAAAGGATTAAATCCAATATATTCCAATTTAGTGTTTTTAATAGAATGCCATCTCCACTCTGTCTCATCCCCCCAGCATCAGCACGCATGCGACAGTAGGAAGGAAAAACTTCCTTTTAGCCAGAAGAAACCTACAGAATTGGGCTCAGGATGGGTAACCATCTGCCTCCATTGGATGGGGGAATCGAGGACAGGAAAGCACCACAGAAAACACATCAAATGGCTGTTTGGTGTACTATCTACATGGAGAAAGATAAAGAAAAACATATTAATGATAAAAAAAATTACAAGTACAAAGATGAAGAGTAAATGGACTGTACTTATATAGCGCCTTTTTATCTTATCAAGATACTCAAATGCTTTACAACACAATCTGTGCCCTCATCTATACATACAGCTCTCAACTAAAGCTGTACAAAGAATAATCAGAGCTTTATCACATTCATACACTGATGGGACACACATCAGAGGAAACGAGGGGTTCACTGTCTTGCCCAAGGACACTTTGGCGTGTGACTGCTGGTGGAATCGAACCCCCAACTTTTGCATTGGAGGACGACTGCGCTAACCACTCAGCTAGCTGCCCAAGAGTACTGTTTCAATTTAATTCAGTTTATTTATATAGCGTCAAATCGCAACAAATTTGTCTCAGAACACTTTACAGGAACATTCACTTTTTTATTTTTTCATTTACCCTTTATTTATACAGGAAGTCTCATTGAGCCACGAGAACTCATTTTCAAGACCGACCTGTTTAGGGAGCAGATGGGGGTTAAGGGCATTGCTCATGGGCCCAGGGTGGGGCGAATGAGAGTAAATGGTAAATGGACTGTACTTATATAGCGCCTTTCTATCTTATTTCAAGATACTCAAAGTGCTTTACAACACAATCTATGCCTCATTTATCCATTCATACAACATGCTACTAGATCTCTACAACGCTAATTGAACAAATCATTCTAAAGAGACTAATCAGTGATTCAGATCACATTCTTACACTGATGGGACACACATCAGAGGCTATGAGGGGTTCAGTGTTTTGCCCAGGGACACTTTGACATTTGACTGTTGGTGGATTCGAACCCCCAACTCTTACATTGCAGGACGACTGCTCTAACCACGCAGCCACAGCCGCCCACAGGGTGGGAGCAGATGTGGGTGCTTCACCTACCCCACACACATTTTTGATGTTGTCGGTACCGGGGATTGACCTGGCGATCTTTCGATCACAGGCCCACCTTCTCTAACCTCTGCGCCACCACTCCCCCACACATACACATACATGAAAAAGCCAATTAGTAAAGTTCTCTATGTAAGGAGGCCAGCAGACACGTTGACTCTTGGCTTTGTTGCAGTCTCCCTTTCTGAGCAAGCACACTGGCAACAGTGGAAAGGAAAAACTCCTGTTTAAAAGGAAGAACCAGGCTCAGGACAAGCGGCCATCTGCTTTGACTGGCTGGTTTGAGAGGACAGGAAGGAGAGACAGACGGACACAGAATGGTAGGTCCAGGTATAGGTCCAGGTGTACCTGAAAGACAAAAACACGTTAGGGTAGAAAAATAATTACAAATACAAAACAGGTTGAGCAGAGTAAGTAAAGACAGCAGCAGAGTGAAAAAGTGTGGTCAGTTTGTCCTCCAACAATCTAATCCTATAGCAGCATAACTAAGGGACAGCTCAGGAAACCCAAGCCGACCCTAACTATAGGATTTAGCAAAAAGGAAAGTCTTAAAACTGAACAACGTCTCAGCCTCATGGACAGAAACTGGAAGTTGGTTCCACGAGGAGCCTGATATCTGAAAGCTCTGCCTCCCATTCTGTTTTTGGAAACTAGGAACCGCGAGTAAACCTGCAGCCTGAGAGCGAAGTGCTCTGTTAGGAAAATATGGAAAAATAAGATATGCAATATAAGATGGAGCTAGGTTGTTGAGAGCTTTGTAGGTTAGAAGTAGGATTTTGAATTCAATTCTGGATTTGACAGGGAGCCAGTGGAGAGAAGCTAAAGACTGCAGCAGAGTGAGAAGATATATTTATTAATCTTTATTTGACCTTTGAGATCACAGATCACAGAAGGGCTGAAGGCATTTGGAGGCGAGTGAAGGCAGCCTATGCATGTTTTGGACTGTGGGAGGAAACCAGAATATCAGGAGAAAAACCACACAAACAGCCTCACAGACTCCAGATTGAAGTTGGATCCATGGGAGAGGTCTGATAACTGAAAACTGCCTCCCATTCTACGTTTAGAAACTCTAGGAACCACAAATAGCAACATTCTAATTGACCTTACATACAATCACATGTTTGGGTGGGCAAGGGGACGTGATTAATAATTAGTTTACGTTTTGTTTAATCAGTGTTTTGTATATTTGCTCGTGTTTCAAAATGTGTTGGCTGAGTCATTAGAGCAGCCCGGATGAGAATGACAACAAAGGAAACATGCTGCTGTGGTCATCCTCACTCACAACAAACATGATTCAGACAGGGGGAAACATGCCTCTGATAACGCTGCATTCCTTTCTGTCTGCAAGACGAGCATTCCTCCCTCCTTGGATCTGTATTCAGTCGATGCTGCTATTTCTGTCACCGATCATGAGTTAAACAGCCAACATGGCTGAAGATAAAAAACACGGAGATACAGAGGCAACTGCTGACAACAAAACAGAACCAAACAACGAATGGTTTC